CACCTGCTTATGCCCACCTGTTCCTACACTCGCACCTGCTTATGCCCACCTGTTCCTTTCAAGTTCATGCCAAAGTCTAGGTGGGTGCTGCTGTTGTACCTGCTTCCTAGATAAGGAAACTGGACTGCCAGAGGATTAGGTGACTTTGTCTAAGATCACATGGGTGTAAGGAGCAGTGAAGATTCCAACCAAGCACTGCCACTATTTGTATGATCAAAGCATGTAAAAGACATTGTCATTAGTTGCTACTGTAGTCAAGGTTTGCAAGGGAAACAATACAATACAGGACACATGACTTATAAGATAATTTTATCATAATCACCTGAGAAGTCATACAAAGAGTGCAGGACAGATGCAGGGACTGGGGTTTGATCCCTGGCATGCAGTGCCAGCCCCGCCCCCGGGGCCTGCTGAGTGGGTGCTTGAGACGGGGTGTAGTGGTGCACACCTGTAATCCCAGTGCTTGGGAGGCTGAAAACAGGAGGATCACTACAAGTCTGATCTGTATAGTGAGACCCTGTACTAAATACATTTTTTTAAAAAGGTGCAGGAAATCTGTCCACATACTAAAGACAAAAGAATCTAGCCAAGGGCCTGGATCCCACAGCAATGTCCTGCATGGGTCCAGCTAAAGACCTAGAGCCACCTGGAGGCCAAGCACTCACCACAGTGTCCCATGCAAATCTGTTTCACAGATGTGCACTGGGAAGGCCCAAAGATCAGTCAGTGGTGGAAGCTAGACAGTCTGCGCCAGTGGGATGGAGGATCTGTGCCAGCAGGCTGCAAGCTGACCACCAGTTGTCCACCACAGTTGCCCTCAACGTATCCCCCCAGCTCCCCACCACGGGCTTCAGACACCCATCGCTCTTGCCAGTCTGATGTGGTTCTGGAAGGCCTCTTCCTGAGTGTCTTCACGAGGGGAGGTCAAACTTACAGCGCATCCTGCTACTGAGTGCCTTCCAGCTGAAGGGGCTCCCTGGCCCTGCACACTCTTAGGTCTGGCAGCAAATGACTTCTGGCCCTTCCCTCACGAACAGTAACTGTGAAAGGCGAATGTTTTGATTCAGGGCACTGAGGCACAGCCATGGCGGCGCAACTAAAGAGGCGAAGGAGGGCTTCAGAATTGCTTCTGAAAGTAGCAAGAGGCCTGCAGGGTGCCCAAATCCCAGCGCGGAATCGGGAGGCTGACGCAGGAGGACTGCAGTGCGCTCGAGGCCAACCTGGGCTGCGTAGGGAGACCCTGTCTAAAAAGGAAGAAAGGATGTGCATGTGTTGGGAGAAGTGTTTTGAGGGGGACAATTTATAACGTGTCTTGTTAGCTTAATATTTTTTCAATTTAAACATTAACTGGATTATGTTTTAATCATACCTCATACCTTGGGATATGCAGAGAAGTCAGGTTCAACAAGGCCGAAAAGGTGGCGTGGCGCTGACCCGCAGACCTTCTGGGATGCGAGTTGAAGGCCAAAGGCTGGTGCGGACGCGGGCAGCAAGCGCGGGTGAGCAGACTGCACTGATGCATGAGGAGGAGCTTGATTCACCCCCCAACACACACCCCCTCATCCCCCACCCCCACCTCTGCGAGGGCGGAGTCCTTGGGACCCAGGCGGAGCTGGGGAGGGGGCGTGGCCATCTCACAGCGGGGCTGCGGATGATGGCGACCCTGGACATCCCAGAAATCCTAGATTCGGTCTCTCCAGGGCTCCTGCTGGCCTAACGCCTACCTCATGGGACAGTGCTGTCAGGCTGTTGGTTTGTGGGGTTTTTTTCTCCTTTGGTGGAACCCGGGATTGAACTCAGGCCCTCACACTTGCCAGGCAAGCGCTTATCCTACTGAGCTATCTCCCCGGCCCCTAGGTTGATGGTTTTGGCTAGCCAGGGGCCCCATGTAGGGAGCTGAGACAGTCATTGGAGGCTTTTTCCAGGCTGCACACCCCGCCCCCGCCCCGAGCGAGGCAAAGCATCAAGTAGGATTGACTTTTCTTACCACCATCCCAAGTGGTGGTGCAGGCCTGTAATTCCAGCACTCCGGAGGCTGAGGCAGGAGGATCGCTGCAGGTGAAACCAGCCTGGGCCACAAAGTGAGCTCAAGGCCAGCCTGACCTGTATAGCAAGGCACTGTCTCAAAAAAAAGATAACTTTTTTGTCTATTTTGTTGTTTTGAAAAATAAAACAATACAGTCATGATGAAAAAAAAAAAATTAGCCACTGACAGAAGTCAAGTAAGATAAAAGCTCTTGATCCTGAGTTCTGAGTCTGCTTCCCCAAGAAAAGAGTATAAAGTTTCTTGCCATCCTTCCAGGGTTCTGCTGTGCACAGCCTGCCTGCGTGCACATTTTGAGC